ATATTACAAGGTATACGTACATCTATATCTATATATAGTATATATAGCTAACGAGCTATCCGCTGCCGATCCCAAGGGGAAATTGAGAGGGGTTTTTTAAGGGGGAGGAAGGGGGTTGGAGATTGGTTAGGAGGACCTGGGGACTTGGCCCGATTTGCTGCTTGTCTTGCATTTAATGTCACACGCTTCATTATTTCTAATTGGCAAATTTTCAATCAGCAAACGAACAGCCTTGGACTTTGGTAGTGTGGGGGGCGGAAGGGGGGTGCTTGCCGTTAGTGGGCGGCTTTTTTGGGTGGCCTGCCCTATTCCCAGCGCGTAAATTTGGCTGTGCTGTGACTTAACAACTTCAGAATTCAATTATGCGACACAGAGTGAAATCAACATTATTGATAAGCCGCAAGGACAACGGAAAATGGGGGGAGGGGCGGAAAAAGATGGGTAGATAGATACACAGAAAGAAAATTCGAAGTGAAATAGGGTCAATTCTAAAAAGCCGATATGATAAATGTCAAATTTATGATTCAAACATATCAACTTGATATTTTATCTATCATATAAAATACTAAATATATAAAATACTAAATGTATATATTGTAAAAGAAAATAAAATAAGATAAACATAATCCTTATTAATATCAAAATGATATGTACATATCACTCTGATCTTTTGTCAATTTTTTCCAGTGTATAGGAAAAGGGATGAGTTTCAGTTCTTGGTTAAAATACAGAGATAGAGGCCCCAAATCCCGCAGTTCCAACTAACCGAGAGAAAAGTTTGCCTCCTGGAAAAACCAGAACCACGACGAACGACGAACCAGGCCAACAAAAGAAAACGTAATGCGCAAATTATCGTAATTATAAATTAAGTCGACGTCGGTTTGCTTTTGCAAGGAAAAAAAATACAAAAAAAAAAGGGAGAAAAAATAAGAGAGGGGTTTTCGGTGGAAAGGCGCAGTTGAAATGTTGGAAAATGTAATGAAAAATACTTTTTGCACAGGCCACCCACTTACCCATCCACCCACCCACTGGCATTCGAAAATAGATTTCCACTATATATACGTATATAACGAGCTGTAATTCTGTGGGCTTCGGGGGAAGTTTTGGAACGACCGGAGGTCTTACAAAGTTGCCTCTTCTTCTTCGCTGTGTAAAGTGGAAAACTTTTTCTCCACCGCTCCTCGCGCGCTATCCCCACTAACCAACCAGAGTTCCCCTTTAACTCGAACTCAAACTCGAATAAAAAAATATAAGAAAAAAACCTAGAGCAGATATATAAAGCAGGGAGAGGAACAAACAACTAAAGCTTTACCCAAAGCTTGTGAAAATTTCACTTACTGTTGTTGCCTTCGGGCTGTAAATGAAGCCATTTTGTGGGGTTGAAAGTTTGGGCGGGGGAGCTACCGTTATGATGCCTGAGCTAACTCAGCATTATTGGGTCGAGCACTTCTAATTGTTGGGGGAAAATCCCCCCCCCTACTCCACGCAAATTCTTTAGCCATAAACCAAAAGCGTTAATTGAGCGCCGCAGCCAAAAGTCTCAGACAAAACAGTAACATTAAATAGATACAAGAATGACTGGATGGGAATCTTCAAAACAATTGAAACGCCTCAAGTTTCCGGGGACTCAAGGGGGAGAAGGGGGAGCCACTTGGAAAAATTTACAACTTTCGGGGGTGGCCAACGAAAGTGGCGGCTATTAAAAATGTTGCTGTCGTTTGTTGGCCGAAACTAAAATTAATTCTGTGCATACGAAATCGTTGGGTACAAATGCGAAAAAATTCAAAGCGAAGTTGGGATGCCCTTCAACAAAATATATGGAACATTTTACATTAATATATAAATAAATAGGTATATATAATAATAAATATTTATTTAAATTCCTAGCACTACAAGTTTAACTTATATATTAATGTGCTAGTCACATATATAAATAAATATATGAATAAATATGCAAATAAATAATATATATTAATAAATAATAATTTTAAATATTTCTTTTGATAAATTCATTTATAATTTTTTCTTGATATCATAGAATGTATGTTAAACTTTAGCCCAGCCTTTGAATTTTTAAAGTCTAGCCTTTTCCCCAAAGAGCCTTCGATTTATGGAGATATACGAGCGCAATCTGGAGCGAGCATTTTTTAAAATATAGCCACTTATACGGGATGCCCATATGGCAATTTTCGCGGCCTTATCTTCGCAGGCCGATCAGTTCTCGAATAGGAAATGCCGCACTTTGAAGGATACACTTTCCCCGAGACATATCCCGCCCTGGGGTATCATCAGCACATCCCTGCCCCCTCCCTCGACTGACTGATGGATGTCCTGGCCGGAGGCATTTTCCTCTGTGCATAAGTAGCTGGGAAATTAACGCCAAGAAAGGACGAGGAAGAGCGGGAAATTGTAGTGCGTGCGAAAAAAAAAAAATAAGGAGAAGAAGAAGGCTAAGACAGCGATTGATGGGTGACAAGGGGATGGGGATGAAATTCCATTGAATGGTTATAAATTGAAAATGACTAAATGAAATGAGTAAATATTGACAGATTGACTGAAGTTGGCAGGCAACGAACGGCAGCTCTCCCACTTTCTACTTCCCACTTGGGGTCATTCAGTTTGACAAGGCTAATTTGTTGATTTGCTTCAATTTGGTTTTCAGCTTTCTAGGTTTTTCGCTTATTTTCGCCTCTCTAATCTCGTTATTTTTGTCATTAGCATTCGAGTTCTGTTCCCTTGGCTTGCTTCTCTAGCTTTCTAGTCGATTCTATTCTATTCCATTCCATTCCATTTGGTGTCTGTTTCGGTCAGCTGGAGGAGCATTTCATCGGCAAAAGTTTTTTGTCCTGCTAATGAGCTTAGGACTTTCGGGAGTGGGAGTGGCCAGAAAATGAACGGAAGTAATTATAATGGGGCTGCGGACATGATTTTTGGCATTCTAATTGAATCGAGAAATCCAGGAAAAAAAAATCCAAAGAGAGTCCCTTCTCAACTTGGCAATGGGTAGGTACTTATAAGAAAAATGGTCTTGCACTTCACACAAAAAAAAAATCCAAATTACCCCTCCTCCAATTCTATAAATATTCTATAGGTCGATTTTCTCACAGAAATAAAATACAATGCCTCTAAAAATATCACAAACAAAGAAATATGATTCTTAGGCAGCCTATATAAATTCCCTTCGCTTTGTTATATTTATTTTGTAAGCCACCAGCATTTCTATCCAGCCAATTTATGCACTCTATTGATAGTAATCAATAATAAAATCTGATATAAGCTTATTTTTATCGTTTTTCTCAGAAACATGGCTCTATTGAATTATGCTACATTATACAAAAAATAGGAATAAAAACAAACAACTAAAAAAAAGTCAAATATTGGTTTGAAAAAACCAAGCGAAACCAAGCGAATAAATTATATTTAAATTTTCAATGCTAACAGAGCGTATACGTAATTTCATAAGCTTGGGGGAAAAAAACTGTTGCCTAATTTTTATTTGGCCAAAATATGCAGCAAATATACGAAGAATTAATATATTTCATATGTGAACATGGCGTATACGTAATATCGGGGCAAAAAGTGTTGCCTACTTTTTTGGGCTTCCCAAATTATTTGTTTTAAAAATACCAAACATTTAAGAACTGTTTAATAAATTGATTTCTTAACACTCTATAAAACAAAATACACCACATTGTGTATGCATAACATAAATAAAAATATAAGAAAGCTAAATTGACTCTAAAAACTCCTTAGATAAACCAATTCAGCTTATTCAAGGCCACTCTTCTCCGCAAAAATACACCCATAAATAGAGACTCCTACTTCTTTTCTGCTTTTTTTCTCCTTTTTTTGTAGTAATATCAGACAGTATCAACATTTGGCTCCCCCATGCAATGCAATGAATATATATATATATATGTACTAAGAAAATATAGGTTCACCAAACACAGACACTGGGGTTTTAGGTAAGACATATGCCTCGCGTCTGATCCCCCAGTTTATCTGAGCATCCAACTAGACCTTCTATACGGCAATGGCCGTATAATAAATCGAAGTCACGACAAATATAAATAATAAAATGTATTTTATTTTATTTCGTTTTGTTTCGTTTGCATTTCAACGTGCTTTTAGTACATAAATCTCGGGCTTAGCAGCGGTCGGAAGCCCAAACTCAAACCCAAACCCAAAAGCAAGGCAAAAGGCAGCTAGAGGAAAATAAAATACGTAGAAAATAAAATAAAAATAAATAAATAAAATAAAAGTTGGGGCGCCTGAAACAACAGACACGAGTCGTGGGTCGTGGCCATCAAACCTATCCTATTCTATCCTATCCTATAGCAACCCATCCCCTCCTTTGCTGTATGAATATTGTTTGTGCATATATAATAAAAAATAAAAAACAGAAATGGGCAAAAGCAAAACAAAGAGCAGAGGAAGAAGTAACAATAACAAATCCAATATTAGATGGCTATAACAACAATGCGTTCAAGTATGAAAGCAGGGGCGTCGAAAAGGGGTTCGGTATTTTGAAAAGGGGGTCGGGGGGTTACTGGTACTGGCAGCTGGTGCCAAGCGAACCAAAGCAAAGTCTGATGTACACGTTTATGGCTATTTGCGATTTTCCCGAGCAGCAGCTCAATAAAAGAGACGACTGGGATAGAAAGGGCCAAGCCGAAAACAATGAGAGACGATAGACTGTACACTCAGAAAATAGGATTAAAATGGGATAAGAAGAAAGCAGTAAGAATATTGTCTGACTTGAAAAAAATTTAACTAATATTTGTATTCTTTTTATATTTTTTTCCAGAACCACAACTGTTTTTCCGATTTTATAATAAAGATTTTTGGGATTAAAATGGGTTTAAAGTAAAGCAAGATGGGTAAGATTATCCCTGTGTCTTGAAAGAAAATGTAACTAATATTTTAATATTTTATAATCCGTATTTTTTCGATTTTAAAGATAACGAATATATTTTTGTTTAGCTTTAGCTTTTATTTACCTGTGCAAGCTTTGATGGCTTCTTCGTAAGCTGTAGTGATTTGATCTGGAATAAAATAAAGGAAATCGTTAAAAATAGGCTTTAGGAGAAACAATAAAGTTTTAGAATAAAACATTTCTTCTATTTAATATAAAATGCTCTTTTAATAAGATGATAACTTCAGAAGTTTCCCTTCGTCGAATTAAGCTAATAAAATGGCGAATTAAAACCAGAACTACTGCCTTAATTTATCTCAGTGTAGGACAATAGAAAGCACGTCGAAGACAAAGCTGCGAGGGAGTGTTAACCATGGACAAAAGTCCCCCTTCGTCGAGTGAAGCTTATTTCGAGGTGATTTTAAAGGCATTAAGCGAAAGTGGCAGACAAAAATCGTGGATTGTGTGTGAGGGGGCGAGATTGCTCAAGCTGAAGTGGATAATCATCAAATGATGCTACAATTACCTTTTCCTTTTCCTTTCTCTCCACCCCAAAAAAAAACCAACCATAATCAAGAGCAATAAAACATAATAGGAACCTTTCCGCCTGCCTCCCAAACCACCAATAATTCAAAAGGGTCTTTCAAAAACTACTGCTTCTTCTTAACGAGCAGGGTTGCCACCCCCTTTTCTGGCGAACCCATTAACCAGGCCGCCAAGTGTTGCCAAGTGTAGGCGAAAATGTTCTGCACTAACACCCAAAATCTAATTTATATCACGTTAATGAGCTTTTATGTCAAATTTTTGGGCGAAAAGTTTTCCTTAAGGTCGAGATCCAATAATGCCCTCTTACCCAGAAAAAACGAAAAAAAGCATAAACAAAAGGTTCTGATTCTGGGAATGCGAAATGCTCCAAAAACTGTCCATTGTAAAAAGTTCGCCCATGGCTTATCAAACCAAATTTGTGGCAATAAAACGAAATGGTAACGGAGAACATGGAATGACAGGATTTCGGGGCAGATATTTCTCTCGAAAAGGGAAGAGGAAGAGGAAGAAGAAGCTGAAGAAGGATACCCCATGACTAAGCCAATAACCGAAAGGTTATTTAATATTTGGCAGTGGCGTGGCCTCAAAAAAGCGCAGACCCTTTCCTTTTCCCACCGATTTTCCACCAAATTCGAGCCAAGTTCGCACTTTTTCTTTCCCCGCTCGTTTCCCACGAAAACGAAAACACACACAAAACATCAAAGCCGGTGAAAGGCGCCGCCAAGGACGAGGGCGTGGCCAGACTTTCGCCCATTTCTCCCCACTCTTTTTGTAGTTTATTTTCTGTTTCTGTTTCGGTTTCTTTTTTTTTTTTGAGTTGGGTACTCCAGCAATCGACGGCCTGCGGCCAAATATTAAACAAATCTAAGCGAAACGAAACGAAACGCATTGCAAAGTTGTCAACTCGAACTGATAACACGCCCCATACTCACCTCCCCCTAAAAAAAAAGGAAATCCCCGTCCCTTAACGTAGTATTCCAACACAGAAAAAAATTTCGATATGAAATAGGGTCATTTCTACCTAATTAATGTAAAATTTATGATTGAAACATATCAACTTGATATTTTATCATTTCATAAAAGTTATAAAATGTACTTTTTCAAAATACCAAAATAAGATAAATATCTAATCTTTATTCATATCAAAATGACATGAATACCTTGATCTTTAAAAAATATTAAATTAACCTGCACATATCAATCTGCTCTTTTAGTCAATTTTTTTTCTGTGTACATCACCCCGTAAAATCCCAACCTCCGGCAGTCCACGGATTTTGTGTTCTCGCTGCCTTTTGTTTGGCAGGAGAAAAACGAGAAAAAGGCAAAACATTCGCAAATTTAAATGCAAATTACCAGACAAAACTGATGAGCAGAGTTGACGGAGGAGGAGGAGGGGGAGGGGGATTTAGGGGGAGATGAACAAAAGTGTGTACAAAAGTATTGACGGTATAGGAAATAATGGCCTAAATAAAGTCGAAACAGGTGCCTCTCACAATAAGCTGGATGAAAATACGGCGGAAAATCTGGGAGGAAAATGTAGGGAATAAGCGGCAGCATATGTCGCGAAAAACTAAATCAAACGTTTTTGTGCGACCCGCAAAATGGAAAATGTGACTCTAATGGCAGCTAATAATCTATATATAAAAATGGATGAATATTGGGAGTTTAGAATATACATTTTGTATTGAAAGATAAATGTGGTGCACGGTATTTTCTTTTTCATTAAAAAACGAACTAATTTTTTAAAAGCTTTGAAATAGTTTTTTTGGATCTTTAAATACATTTTTGAATTAAATGAAAACCCATTAATTCCTTTGAAACTTTTTAATAGGTTTCCTTAAATATTTAAGGGTTATTTTTATAAAGATTACTATATATAAATTTCTTACACTTTTTTGGGATCATTTAGCATAGTTTTTATACTTTTTTTATTTGTTAATCGCCAATGGATTTATTCTTTCTGGATATAATCATTATATTTTTAAAAAGCTGGAAACTTTAAGTAATATTAAAATAAAATTCTATAAGGTTTATAAATGATTTTTATTTTTACCAGTAAAACTTAATCTCCCAGTCGATGTGCCTTACATTTTATTGGCGGCGACAAATCTCGGCTCATTTGGAGCATTTCAGTGTGTTTAGAATAGCGATACATGATTACTCCCAGCTCGGTAGTTCGGCCACGCCCACTGCCACCGCCCATATAAACCCACACAAAGTAGGCACACACACACACATACACAGGGGAAAAGAAGACTTGCTGGCTCGGCACGCACATACGCAATATTTTGATGCGATTTTGTGGCTCGCCAAATGATTTCGCTGATGTTCATTCCACAAAACCCCATTTTGGTGGGGGCTGGGGGGTTGGGGGGTTGGTTTCCAGGGGGAGGGGGCTGGCTCAAAGGGCAGGGCCTTCTGGGAGAGAAGGGGGCGTGGCATGGCAAAGGGAACAGCAGAATGGCATTGGGATTTGCTGCCATGTGACAACATGACAAAGTTCTCCAGCAGCCAGGAGATTTGTATTGTACCCCTTCGTATCTCTCCCTCACTTTTCCACCAGGTTTTTGCTCAGTGTTTACCCGCCATTAACCCAACGAACGCCACCCCCCTTTTTTTCCACCCACCCCCACCCATGTTGGTCAGTTCCCATCGAGGTTTTCCCTGGCATTCGTTTGTTGCTCCGCCGTGAAAATCTGCGGTTCGCATCCCACTGCAAAAAAGAGTCCAAGAGTGAATGTGAATGCGAATGTGAATGCATATTCACCGTTCACCTCCATTTAGTGACACAAATGTCGGGCTTTTCCTCCTCATAAATCCAAAACAGTTGCCCATTGTACTGCGATTATTGTGCATTGGCAACATTGAACAAATTCTGAGCTAAAGCTAAAAGTTTCAATACAATTCGTTAGAAAAAATTTCCTAATTTTTGTGAGTCACAACCTTCTGAGCTCTTTTATTATAATAAAATTATTATAATATTTTTTAGACCTTTAAAAAATTGAAATTAAATGTAAAATTAGTTTAGCAATTAAAAATAAAACAAAATAGCTATTGCTGTTTAAACTAAATTTTTAGTCAAAACATTTTTTTTAAATACAATATAAATTATTAGCGAAACTATATTTTATGGAAAAATAACTAATTCAAATTCAAAATAATTCGTTAAAAGTTAGCCTTAATTTTTTGTATGGTTTTTGATTATAATAATATTTTGTTGTGACCTTGTAAAAAAGGCGGTGGCCTAATGATTAAAGGCAACGACTTCCAAATGAGCTATTTTAGCATTATGAATGGAATGGAATTGCCATTGCCAACCCAGAGTAACTCCTTTATTTGCTTAGTACTCATAAATACGGGTTTCATTCGTTTCGAGGGTTTTTCGAGGCAGAAGGCCAACCACTCGCTGAATAAACAGAACATTCATTCGGAACGGTCCGCAGCCAAAGACAATTTCTGGATGCCATAGTGGGCCATAACTCAGCCAACTGAATCAGCACTTGACTCCGGACTCGGGGACTTCAGGACTTTGGGACTTTAGGACTCTCTACTCTGACTTTGTCCTGTCCCTACTCAAAATTCACAAAAATTTATGCACTCCTCCGCTCATATTATATATATATATATATATATTTGACCATATCGTTGGGGTCCGGAGGTCTGGAGGTCCTCGGGTGCCATATTCCCAACTAACCAAGCGACAAACTTCATGACAGAACCTTTTTTACACAGCTATTTATTTATGTGGACGGCGGTGTGGCGCTGTTGGCGGGGAAAATTTGCTAAAAATCGTGCGAGACACTGCGTTGAAATAAAAACGAAATTTATTATTTATTTATTTCGTTATCACTTTGTATGCGACACAAAACCACACACACAGTTCCCTATTCCCCCAGACTTTCAGCCACAAAAGTGACAGGGAGTGAAAAGCCGAGGCGAACCAATTGCTACCCACCAAGGAAATAAAAGTAATAGTTCGCTATATATATATAAAATATGTGGTTGGTGTTTTTGGGACCCAAACTCAAACCACGACTGCGAACCATTTCGCCATCCTGGGCACGCATTTGCGATTAGAAAAAGGATACACGTAATTTTTTGTCCAACCTCCTTTTTTACGAGTTCTCCGGTGGTCCGGTTGTAATAAAAGTGCGAACGGCGGCAAGGTGACAAGTTAGCGGTTATTATTATGCCAAACGCCCAACTTTCCACCACCCCCAATCAACCCAAAAAAAAAGTAAAAGAGAGAGAGGGAAAAGGAGAAGGAGAAAAAAAGAAAAACCTTTAACCGACGACAAGCGCATTTACAATGGATTTGTTTTTGAATTGGAATTGGTTTTGCTTTTGGGTATTTTCGGTATTCCATATTGGATATTCCGTTTTGGATTACTCTCAGCAATTCGGCATTCGATACACTGCGGAAAATACTTATTTACTTAAATACAGTATGACCAAGCAGAGAGAATATCCTAACAAACTAAACAGTGTGACCTTGCCATGAAAAATACGACTAAAATTAGTTTATTTTACGATTTAGATGAGGCAAATCGTATTTAATAAACCGAATAATATTCTTACTACACT